TATATTCTTCGAGTTCAAGTCTTCATCAAGTTATATTCATTCATTTCTTCCTCTTTAGTTCTCCATTGCTGTAATTTTTATAACAATGATTCATAAAAATTTTGGCTTCTAGATTGGGATTTTTTTCTGGTTTACCCATGAAATGTGCCTTCAATTTAGTTTTGTTAATTCTTACGCATCAGTATAGGATATTCTAATGATACCAAAGGATAATATTTTATAGTCCTCTAGTTATGAAGGTCTTTGTTAGCACAAATACAACATTCATAGAGGATAAGTATATTAATGATTATTAGTCCAAGAATAAGGACATGATGGAAGAAATGAGTGGAAGCCATTCAACATTATCAATTCCTGGAATACAACCTAAGACACACATCCCATGGTGTCAAAATATATCTGAACAACATGATCTAAATGGGAGAGATGAGTTGTCATCTAATCCAATAGATCTCTAGAATGTTGAAGACAATGAGGATGTAATGGAATCAACTAATGTAATATCATTATTGATAAAAATATTACGTTCCAAATGATGCAACAATCCTAGATCAATCGTCCCTCAAACAAATTAGGATGATTATCATTTCACCTTCAAGGTACTTGTTAAGTAGAGAGTCCAATCTGGATTTTCATGGTACAAGTTGATGATCTAAGTTCATATAAGGAAGTTATGGATAATGTGGATGCGTCGATCTATTTATGGATCGAAGCCGACGTTGAGATCTTGGAATAAGGATTCAACAAAGTGATTAAAACATATGGTTTTAATCAGAACATGGATGAACCCTATATGTTAGAATATGTGAGACAAAATGTATTTTTCCTAATGCTTATGTAGATGATATTCTACTTAATAGAAATAATGCGGATGCGCTATTGCCTACGAAAGTTTTGTCCCAAGTCGTCCAAGTTTTAGATCTTAGGAGATCGAAAGAATAAGATGATAATTTTGTCCTAAGTCTCATATGTTGACAAGATATTTGTCAGATTTCCTATGCAAGATTATGCCATCAAGCATCGAATCTCTCTAAGAATCAGTCCCCTAAGACTGTTAAAAAGATTGTGTCAATGGGAGGATAGGTAGTCTCATGTATGCTACGCTATGCAGTAGACTCATTTGTTGTACTATTGGTTTGGTGAATTGAGATCTATTTAACCCTAGGATCGAAACATTTAATGGTGTTAAAGCATATCCTTTAGTACCTTAGAGAACAAGGAATAATATGCTCATTACCAGATCTTATTCTGATAGGTTAAAAAGATTCGGACTTTTAGAATGATGAAGACTATCACAGGTCTACATCAGTATTGTTGTTTACACTTGATGGTGGGGCCATTATTTGAAGACGTATCAAGCAATCGTACATTGTTGATTCCACTATTGATGTCATAATTTTAGGAGCTTATGAAGCTACTAAATTGGTCGTATGACTAGAAAATCCTAACTGACATTGAGATGGTACCTGCATCTGCACAACCCTTTATATTGTAGTGGGATAACAGTAGTACTACGGCAAATGTTAAAGAAACAAGAGTCATCAAAAGGATAAACACATTGAACGAAAATATCATCTATTAAGAGAGATAGTTGATAGAGAAAATGTGATTTTTAGTCAGATTGCTACTACGATAACCTTGTAAACTCATTTACCAAAAGTTCATCAGCTAAAGTTTTCGAATGATATCTACAAAACATGAGGATAAAAGATTTGACACATATACTTTAGGAAAAGAGGGAGATTTGTTAGATTGTGTTCTCATATAGTATATTTTGCGATGACAATATAATAACTAATAATAAATGAAGTTTGATTTTATTTATTATTGAGTATGAGAACTAAAGTGCATATGATTACCTGTGATAATATAAGTTGGGTATTTGTATTGAAAAGTACAATATGACTCAACTTATATTTTGATCATAATTTTTGTTCATAACTAACGTAAAAAGGATCGACACCTTGTACTGGAAGGTTGTAGTATTGACTAATTCACTATTTTGATTTGTGATTTGTCTTTATCGCAGAAATAGTTAAAGTTGATAATAGTACACTTGAAATGTATTGAGCGGATCATGTTTGAGTTTAATCCTATAGCATGATCGTATAGAGAATTAAATTTCACTTGATCGTTGTGTATTTCATCAAAATCGACAGGGTTCATGTATATCTTTTCATAACTTTAATAGTTTTTAAGTCATCAATAAGTGAAATCAATTTGATTGATCAAATATCTCGATGATTGGGAGCTTGAGATTGATTGAAGTAGAGAATATGAATTTCGTGTTGGAAATCGTCACCCTGAAAAATGGGTGAAGTGACTACTTAAGTATTTTCCGTTGAACGGTTAAAATTCAAGCTTAGCTTTAAGCGACGACTAAACTTCGTCATTTGTGTTTTGTTCACATGACCGTTGAAGAAAATGGTACTTAAGTTAGAAAGATAATTAGAAGGACAAAATGATCATTTATGCTCGTACCTAAATATCGAATCTCGATCGGCGATAATTACATATATGATTAGTCAAAGGAAAGTATTACAGATTTATTGACTTCCGTGATATTATATATTCCAATAGTTCAGTATTTTGCATTTAGTGAAAAAACAAAAACTAATAATTAGATATAGTGGTCTAAGGTCAACTTAGGATCTAATTATTGGAATTTGAATAACATATGTCTGATCAGATCTCTATGGTAGCTCTATAAAGTATTTAGACTTAATTACAATAATTATGATAATTTTGAGCTTAACTATAATTATAATTGTAATTGATATAAGAAGTTGTAAACTTACTTATAATTATAATTTAAATTCTAGGACTACATATGTAATTAAATGTAAACTAATTGGACGTGAACTTTAATTAAAAATCTTATTTGGATTTTAATTAAGACTTCTATTTGAAATCATAATTATTATTATACACGCATCAGCACATCTTTTATATCTAAAATAGAGACTAGGTCTTGTCACTATGATTATAGCAACGTGTGATGAAGTGGCCTTATTATATGATTATAAATTTTGATGATTCGATTCATCTTAAAGGTGCGTGACCTCCAAAAAGAGGCATATGGCTATTTCAGAGCCGTTAACATGTATGACATTGTAAGCATTTCTTAGCGAATGGAATTAATTATGGCGACTGTTATGCTTTAAACCATCTCCCGATTCCTAACCGATTCATTCTCATCTCTCGATTCGCGCCGGCCATAATAGACCTTGAGTAATTGGCGCTGGTAGATAAAAGAAATGGAATAATTTGCATAATTATGTTCTTAGCATGATGAACCTGTCCAAAACCGAACAAAAAAAAAAAAAAAAAAAAAAAAAGGGGTTAAA